AATAGTATTTCCCACGGAGGACGAGAAATTTGAACCGCAATTTGAACCGCAATTTACTATTCCTATAGGTTCCCTAGCAGCACTGTTATGCTATTTTGGCTTCTGTTGAATTTAACATGAGCTCCTAGATCAGAAATCGTCCACCTTAAACGTCAATAAATAAAAAAGTATGTACTTGCTGTATCCGGAAATAAAAGCGTGAACGAGCGAAATCAAAGAAGGACTTATAATAAAAACAAGTGATATTGTTAAAAAAAAACAGATTGGTATAAAATAGGTCATTTTGAAACTATTACAGACACATTTTAGAGTGCAGTTTGATAGACGTGTAGGTTTTTACCTACCAAACGGTTTCTTTGTAAAACGATGAAGAAGGACTAAATCCGCACAGTTTCTAGCTCCTATTTGTCTTATTTCAGAGGCGTCCCACAGATGGTTCAGCGGATAGCTGGCAAATCAATGCCAATTGAAAAGTTTGCAATGAAGAAATCCAAACGCTACTTTGAGCAGGGGAAGCGGTTGACGCTTCCGGGCATGGTAAAGTCTCATATGTTTCGTTTCTCGAAAGGATTGATTCATTTTACGCCTTTATATCATTTTATTGTGGTTCTCCAGAGATACTCAGATATAAGTCTGAACCAGCAGGTACAGTGGTCACTTTTAAACTCAATAAGCGGAGGTTGTGTATCCTTCTGTAAGGAGTACTGCGTCCAAAGTTGCAATTTTCTACATTCTCTCACCTTACTGAGTGAAAAAATACATTATTTATCGTAATCACTACATTATATGCGAATTCTGAAGTGCACATAGTTCTTTTTATTTGAAATCTTAAAGTATCATAACACTGTTCTTTGTCTCCCGCATTTGAATTGAAGGAGCTCATGTACCTCTGGAATGGATTCAAACTCGTCTTCACCAAGAAAGATATACTGGAGAAATTCCTTCTCCTTGTAGAGTTCAAACTCAATCGCCTATTGGCAGAAGAAGGTGAGGTTAAATTCATTGTGCTTTTGAATTTGCAGATAAATGTTAAACAGAACTTCATGAAATCCTCCTTACGTCAGCTTTTTTTCTTGCTACATTAGAAGAAAATAAGAGGCGTTTAGTCGATATCCTGGATGACTATCCGCATAACGCGATTTAATTGGCTATCCTTTACGCATTCTGAGCAATAAAATACAAAACTTTAACAAAGCTGTAAGAAGATATATGAACTACCTCTAACCGAAATGGCACGGTCCACGTGGACTGTGGACCGTCAAAATTGTCGACAAAATCTGCACCATGAAGTACCTACGGCTGTCAGACAATGATCAATGACAGGCAACATGGGGTTGTTACAGTTAATCAAAGCTTAGTGACGTAGTACCAGCGTAAACTCTCAGAATGATATAATTCAAGACCAAGGGCTCAATATCTACCAGTAAACAGCTCGTCGTAAATTTCTGTACTAAGCTTGGAGCGGGAACTGCGTTTTCTAAATGATAATGGTTCTGAAAGTCTCCTTCAATGTAAGACTCGAAGATCCCTTAGATGCCTATTCAAAGAGTTGCTTTCAATGCAATAAAATGTTGAAGTGTCATTAAAGTTGCTCATGTCAGTTCTCTAACAGTCTGAAAAGTCTTTTGGCAAACACGTTTTCAACAACTCTTCATCAGGCCAGTACATTTGCAGGGATAATGAAAATTTTACAGTTGGACAAGATAAATTAATTACAAATAAATACAAATTATAAATAAATAAATAAATAAATTACAACTCATCGTTTTCACGCCGCCAACATGGCGAGATGGAAATGTAGAGGTCATTGTACTTGGGAAGGACGGGGGAGGAAATTGGGTTAGGTTGTGGGCGTTGAGCAGGGGTCAGGTACATGGAGTGGTAATCGCTGTCATTTGCACGGAACGAACGACTGTCACTAGGAAGTGAGGGTGATGTTCAACCGCCTTCTGCTGTCGGGGTCGGCCAAGGAAGTGAAAGTGCTTGTGTTAGCCTCTTCTGACAACGCAGCACTGGACTCGCTAGCCGCATAGCCACTGCCTCGGCTGTTGCTAGCACCCATTGGCGTAGGACCTTGGAAAGGTTAGCTGATGTCCGGTAGACAACCTGAAAGGCTTCAGTAGTATCGACTTGATGATTCATGTCGACGAGGTGGGCGAGAATTGAACTCAAGATCGATCTAGTTTCCATTTTACTTAACCAGGCCGGTATGTGCTCGCCTACCCCATTTCCCAGGCGTCTCGTTGTTCGGCCAATGTATCCTGCTCCACAGGAGCAAGTGAAACTAGATCAAGCTAAACGACTAAATGTGGTTTTGTATTCAAATCCACATGGTTTTCATAGAATGATGAAAGAAGGGGACGGAACGTAAAGCATAACTCTAAAGAAGAGGGATTGTGGGTCTCCAGCCCTCTTTCCGTGTGTATGCAGCTAATTGACTTCCAACCAGGGCATCCATAGGGGCTACTTGAAGTGCTGTGCGCTCAGATTCGGCTTGCGTAGACCGACGATTGTCACGCCCCCTGTTGTAAGTCGACGAAGTACTACTGAATTCGGTTAATTATTTGGCGCTCGATAGCCTACTTGTTAAGCTTCCTCAAGGTCCAACTGGTGGCCATTATCCACCGACCAGTTGAGGACGGAATAACCTACTCGTCTTGTATTGCTTCCTCAATCATGTTGGTGTATTTTTTTAGCCTATATTCATCAAGGTTTATGCTTGAAGGAGTATCGATAGTGATAAGATGAGCTAGAGGGATTGCTCGCAGTTTTGTAGCTGCCAGCCGACCACGCCCAAACCAAGCTTTAGATAACCACAAGTGCGAATAAAATAATGGATACATATAGACGTAATTTCCAAGGACAACCTGTTCTCATTTTAAGAAAATAGCATAGATATCAGTTGTATGCATTTACTTTAAAACAAAAACTTCTTGGCGAATGACCTTCCCGACACAAAAGAAGAGTTAAGATAAGCTCTTAACATGATATGCTTCTTCTCTGTAGGGACGTGTGGGCTTAGCCAACAGCCGTCTTTATAAATGAACGCGAATTATTTAAATAAATCATCCATATGTGTTTGCCAGTTTATAAGTTTCCTTTGTTAGCCCGCAAGCATTTTCATGGATAAGTGGAGCGTAGAAGGCTGGGACTAGAATTGAACAGCCTCCATTTAGATAACAGTTTATTTGCTGTAACGTTTGTTTAACGTACAAAAAAACCTAGATCGGACTCTCATGGCATTACAATGCCATGAAATAACAATTTGGTAACTTTTCACTCTGTGTTTGGCTGTTTAATTTTGTTGCTTGCAGCCATGCCAATTGCAAAATTATTTTGCCCCTGAGATAGTGGTTGTTTCCAAATCTTTTCGGTAAATATTTGAATTTGTTAACTTTGCCTAAACGCCGTTCGTAGTACCCTTGCGTTTACTTCGAATTACTTTTATTAACTGTACTTTATTTGCTTCTTTATGGAATTATGTCATTTATCGTAAATTTTCACAAACCCTTTTTCTTAAAACAGCCAATTACAAGTACTTTCCGGATGACTTCTGCCTGGCAACTATGCTGAAGGGCGTTTGTTTGCGCTGTCTCGGTCGAGTTATGCAAGCGAAAATGTGTTTTATGGAGGTCCTTATGAAGTAAGTTTCTTAAAAAAAACAATATTCGTTTTTCGGACCAGGAATTCTTCGCAGTTTTTAAAAAGTGGTAATTCAGTAATGTTTACTCTTATAACTAAACATTCCATCTCAGTGTTCTTTCACACGATGTATTTAAAACAATCAACGCTAAGTGCAAACTGTTCCATTGATAACTAGGATATTTGTATAGCCACGCGAAACTTGCCACTCAACGGGGTTGAAGTGCCAACCATCCGTATTCGAGCCTAAAATAATGTGTCCTATCTATTGTAGCCACAATCGCTGACTACAAGAATTAATTGGTAATTCAATTTGGACATTTAAAACGCAGCCGAGTTGAAGTATGCAATTCACAAATCAATAAAACGTCCGTAGTTAGGTAAAAGCCGACCTCTGATAGTTCGAACTCAAACTAAGCACACCACCCGTGAACTATCATAGGTAGATCTGTCAGATTTTGAAGCAGTTTTTATTCCTTTCGACCTACATTGCAAAGTGTTCTTAATATAGTATGGTCGTACATATTTTATTCTTTCGTCTTGGCCTGGACTAGCAGCCTATTATGGTCTAATCAGCTTGACAGCTACGATTTCAAGATTATTCTCCTGAAAGCGGAGAGTGGGTAGTTGTAATAATCCATATGTTTTACTAGAACATTAATCGGGATGGCAAATGGGATCCGTGCTCCAAGGATGATTTGCTGAGTGTAGAAGTACCGATTCCCTTAATGCCTGTTTTTACTAAAGTGAAGTTATCAAAACTAGTATTACCTGCTTTCTGACTGTTGAGGCGAGATCATTCAAGTTTGGGCGGTTGTTCTGCGCACTTTCTGCACGATTTCCCTAGGTGCACAAACAATCAAATCATAATCAGGCAGCTTCAGAGCAATTTTTTATTCAAATATTGACTGCTAATGTGACTTACAGAACAAACCTTACGATATTGAGCAGGATCGGTTTGTCTCTTTATAAATGCACCGGTTCCCCCGTCGATTTCGACGATGGGCACCGCGTGCTCCAACAGCCGCAGCAAACGCTAAAGCAAGCCGCAACAGACACTGAGGCAAGCTTGACAAGCAACAGGAAGGT